ACATTATTGAAAATTGTGTATTATTGCATTTTTAAAGAAACCCGAAACGGTTTCTTCACAGCACTTATGTACCCATATGATGTTTGTGAATAATAATAATGATAATACTGTGCTAAGGCACGACCGCAGTAAAGTGCTTCTTCCAGATAACAAGCATCTACAGAGATGCTTCCTTTTCACAAAGGAAGAGGTTAGAAAATGTTCGTCCTAAAAATTTCATACATTACCTTATTTTTTAAATTTCCGCCTTCAGTAGTAAGACGTTTTGGAGTTAGCACGTTCAAAACTCTTCATCCTCTTACCTAACAGTACTCAAAATCCACTTGTTCACGATCAGATATTTTCAAAAGGTGGACGAACACATAAACTGGAAGATATTGAACTAGACTTATTATTTTTATACTTGATAGTGGTTTCAATCGATCTTCCGAAATATTGAATTGGACAAAGTGTGAAATGTTACGAACCACAGGAACTTCATGTTATGATGGCTACCGGTAAACGCAATGATCTAAAATGACTTTTGTTTATGGACATACAAGTGTGATGAAACCTGGTGATCTGAACAGATAGATACTTTCTTTATCTATTATTTCTATGCGATTAGCGTACTCGATGTGACAAAAGGACAAAATAAATCAGTCGCACACACATATTGAGCTTTGTACCCATTGCCTTGCGCATAAATAATGTGTCTTAGCCAATCTCAGCTTTTCGGGAGAGAGTCAGCGTGGTCCTGTAGTCGATGTGTGATGTGTAATATTACTGGTTACACAATGCGATCTCGGTTGCGGTTGACATATCCTGGAATATTCATCGAATAATGGTTGGTATAAGGGGTCTTTGGAGTGCTTAGTTGTGACTGGAGGTAATTTGCAACCAGAAAGATAAGTTACGCAGATACATAACTTAGTGTTTCCGTCTACTAACTTTCGTTTGCGTGTGACAATGAGTAGACTGTGGTGTAGTAGCAGGTCTACAACAATGATTGTCATAGAAATATCTGCAATCACGAAAATCCAGTGGATGGGTTTGCGTAGACCTACGTTAAGGTAAACGTATATATGTAGCGATCGGTTTGCCGTTTGCCGCCTGTAGGCTTAAAACAGACTTTTGAAGCCTGTCGTTATCACTGGCAAGAAGAACATTAACTTCTGCGCCAGTGTCGACGAGTTAGCGAACTTTCGTTGTCACATCGTGACGTATAACAGACGGCTATGGTTGCCGTTAATGCGTGTCGGCTGGGAAGTATCCCGATTTTTTTCGCGCCGGTCGATTTTGGGCTCGGGTAACTGCAGGGTTTCCTGCAATTTCTGGAAGACTTCCCATGCTTATGATACCAGCATCAGTCAGCGTTACCCATCTCTTGTGTTTTAGAGACAGATAGCTTACGTGAAATGCTTCTTCGCGGGGTTTGTGACCCTTTACGGTCATTACGAAAACGAAGATAAAGTGTAAGTGTATGACATAGTTCCATGATGTCATTTGGGATCGTTTGAGGTTTTTCTTTGACCGGAAAAACCTCGGCATTAGAAGATTTCGTGATTTCCAGGATGCGGTTTGAAGATGCAGCCAGCTCATCTACGACGTTATTTTCAAATGAGACGATAACTGCTAGCACTGGTTGCGGGAGTTTAGATAACAGGTGCTGGTTGAATAGGCCCTCGTCAAAAGTTCTTTGGCCTATCGCCTCTCTCATCCTTAGCAACATATCTGTCGCGGAGCCATGTTGCAGGTGGATACTAATAACGAGTTGATCTAAACTTTGTCGGTCGGTTAGATCTCCGCGTTTAATAATCGATCTTTTAAGAGTTTCGTAAGGTTCCGAAACATCACTGGTAAACATACCAGGTGTTACGTACCTGTTAAATACGCGCGGTAATGCCTTAACAACCGCGAGGAACATTGAGCGTAAGTCCGTAATGCCGTGCCCGTAAAAATCAGCTTCTGCGTAGCAGAACCAGGCTTCCATGATGTCCGGCCAAAAAGGCATTAGCTGAATCGAGGGTGAAGGGATAGTCTTCAGCTTAAATACTTTTGGTATCTGTTCAGTCATAATGAAAAATCAAGTATTATAATAAATGAAAAATACATAATTAAAATACATCCAAAAACTGGAAAAGTATCACAGTATTTACAAATCAAATAAAGCGAAACAATGATTTTTGAAGTTCCGAAAAGGAACAGACCCACAATTTATCGTTTGGTTTACTGGATCATGTCGGTCTCACCACTGAAGATACCACCAGTATTATAGTTTGACAACTCTTTACCAGTAACACCTATAATCGAATCGCGCCCACCCAGTTAAAATCAGAAGCGAGGAGGTTGGAAGATATATTTGATGGGTTATCAATACATCGACAAGTGACTGATCGAATCTGCCTAATGATCGTAGGAGATGTTACCCATGACGTTCTGTAACCTGATCTGTTACGGATGTATGTCTTCAGCTAAACGAGCTCGCTAAAACTAATGTGGTCAGCATCCAATGTCGAACACTTACAAAGCTATCGAGTTTGGGGAATTATTTACAGCTACAGTATACACGTGACCATGTGAGGACATTTCAAGAGGGAGGGATGATTCTTCCTAATCTCGGCCCATCAGTGTATTTGGGGCCTAGTAAGACACATAGCAAGTAGAGCCAACAAAATATGTTAGATAAAGATTATAAGTGACTAAAATTTATTCACAATATATTGACTGATAAAAGTTACCCGCAAAGCTTTTTGAAGAAATTAAATGCTGTGCTCTTGAGTGTTGTTAGCAGTCTAATGGCGGTCTTCACTTCCCGGTTCCCAACACCGTGGAAGGATTATACTAGAGGAACCTGAAGAGGAAATCGGGTTAAAGGGTCTTGGTGACCTGAGAGCGTGACCGCAGTGCCCAAGGGACAACTACTCGGTCACACACGACGTTGTTGTAATTTTTGTGTTAGCCCACTACTTGTTGAGATAAGGCGAGGTGCATCTTTAAAGAGTCGACCTTTTCTAAACCCATCCTTCCTTTATGGAAAAGCAGTATCATTCCTGTGCTGGATATCTGAGGGAAACACCCCGTTGCCGTCATGCCTCTGCACAATCAGTAGTGTGACTTTCCCTTCGGACCCTGGGTTTCGTGCTTTTGGTCTTACCGCTCTTCAACTGCCCTGCCTGACATGATAGGACTTGGAGGGATGATCGTTCCAGCTCCATTGGTTCGTCACGACAGGCAAACCCGACCACCACGTCAAGGTAGCAGCAACGGTGAACGGGAAGATAGTGATGTCAACAGATGTTGAGAACTCTCTCTTCCTGAGGCTACAAGTCAACGAATATAGAGCCAGTGATGTGCTATGGGATAGACTGAATAAATTAGTGAAGAGGATACCTAGTACAACTAACCTCTGTTTATTGTTTCCTAGTCAACTTACACTGGTTATTCAACCAAAGGGTAGATTACCTGGTCTTGCCAAATCTATTGGTATCTACGAATTCAGTCTCTCCTGTTGAAAAAATTATGCCGAGTGTACAGTCAAACAAATTAGTTAACGAGCTACAGAACACTTACGTTCGTGATTGGGGGAGAGTATGGTCTACGAAATAAGTAGCCTTTGTTCTACCACTCCTGGTCAACAGTGGTCATGTAATAGATAGAACTAAATCATCCAGAGTAATTTATCATGCACCTACCACTCTTCTTTATGAGATTCAACCACGTATCTTACAGGTAACAAAAGCTATAGCGATTCAAGTCAACAACCCGTCTTGGAATTCATAAGAAATTCGTAACACCCTTATATCTTCTTTGGCTCAGTTAGGCTTAACAAACGAATTTACTTATTGTTTTCTATACCCTTTCCGAGTTTGTTCTTTATCCTTTACATGAATATACTTTTTCAGTCTAGTCGTTTGAAGGCTCCTTATTAGGTCATCTTGTTGACTTTTAATGAATTTCATTCCAATGTCTATTTCGCCAGGTCTTTCGTCTACTACTTCCTATTATGAAACATTGATTCAAGCCTTTATTATTTGTTATCACAACTGATACACCTGTAATCACATTACCAATTTCTACTTTTTACTAATGCTGGTTAGTTGTGTGATTCATTTGGCTGTCATCACTGACTCCTAAACTGCCTTGATTGGTTTTTTATTTCGTGTATCAATTTAAACATCGCTGCATATTACAGTAAAGTCTAATGAAAATTTAACCGGAAATAATACTTTTCGTTTATGTAGTGTTCTACTTTTTAAATGTTTAAAATTTTTAATTATATGGTTAATCAGTTAGTAGCGTATAACAACTACCGACTAATTGTTTTATCTAATTCCTACAAAACTGGACAGGTTTTTACTCAACTTTACAGGCATAAAACAATAAACCATATTGTGACGTTATGTAGAAGTTAAAATCCAAAAGGTTTACATCTTTGATACATTCTAGTTAGTGAACTAAGTGTCCAATTACTGAACATATTACTTTGGATGCTCTTATGAGAAGCGATTTAACAAAATTAGGGTAACATAAGTGACGTGGACTAATATTATTTGGAAAACCACAGGTGCATCAACTCTTTGTCTCACTGAATATTGGTAGTTTTATTACCTATACCAATTTATCCCTTAGTTTTATCAGTTCTTTTTGAATTATGCTTAATTTTTACTATGATTGCTACTAATACTCTTTTAAAGTCTTTGACTACCATTTTAAAAATTCTCCTTTTGCTACACTTACATTAGGTTTGACAGTGTAGCCCGATGAATAATCATATTATGTCCTATTTTTGTCAATGACTGATCGACAAGCAGCAAATATTATGAATACAGGCAATGCATTATTATCCGCGAACTTGAAAACTCTAATTGTTATTATAATTGTTCGCATGAATTTGTATCAATCTTTACAACATAGTCATTAGGTCGTCACTTATTAAAGCATATACATAGTATATGAGATTTGGTGAGACGACGTGGAAGAAGTTGAATAAATCAATAGAAATTAATATTTTTCCAGTAAATTATTGAACAGTTTAACGTTCAATATTAAAGAATTCCAGAAAATAAAGGGTCAATAGCTTTCCCATAAAACACAGTTAACTGACACTGAGGTAAGAAAACCTATTCAACACGTTTTGAAATCTTATTGATTTTGTTTACTTTATCTAATCGAAAAGAGCACTAAGATCATCTATAAAACTTAAACTTTGATGTGAAGGAATGAGTTTACATTGTACTCGTAAGAAAAATTAGTTGAGAATATGAAGCAGTAACTTACTGACTAAAGCGATCTGTTTTCACTAATGGATTTTGGGTTCAGACTAAGTTCCGTCAGTTTCCACTTCAGTACCCAGGTAGTATCAATAGCCTTTTAAAAGTTAGAACTTTTTTAAAACCAACTTACGCAGCTTCCATATACGGTAAGAATAACTGAGATACATGTACCATAACATAAAGAAACAATAACAATTAGAGCAATTCCTCATGGAGTTCAGACTGATTATATATATTTGGCATTGGTCACTGCTCAATGATTAATCAATTGAAAATATATTTATGCGCATAAAGGCTTAAAATCCGATAGACTGATTTTATATATTAATTTTAGGCATGAACTAACACTAGTTAGAAAACCACTGAAAATCCAAGAGCACTGAACGGGCTCTCCAACAACTACAATAGAGAATTAGCAACTCTTTGACATTTCAGTATATTAACACGATCTATTTATAAAGTCGAAATATATGTGGCCAGCTTTAAGTCACCTTATTTCTGTGAGGGCTAGACATATTGACTAACAGTCCAAGCTGAAGTAGGTGCAGTAAGATCGGAACATGAGACTTAGTTAACAGTCGCTCCATTAAAAGAAAAACAGTTGTGTTTATTTTTTATAATGATTTATTTATCCCATTTTTATGATGTTTGAACTTTATATATGTAACCGAGTAATTCGCAATAGTAATCAAAATTCAGCATAGCTTCTTAAGAAATGTAGCGGTGATAAACAACAAATTATTTCTCTTTAATAATGGGCACCTGAAGGGCATTCATTGGAGTCAAAAACGTGGGATCCGACCATTTACATATAGTCTAATTTTTGCACGAAAAGAAACTTTGCACTGGAGGATGTAACATCAACACGCTTTTAACCACTACTCGATAACGTCCTAACGGTGTATAAATCAGAAGGCGAATACGAGGGGTTGATTGCGTTTATTACTGAACCACACACAGATATCCAATATTACAGGCACGTTAAGCAAGCATGAAAGAGCAGTACCGTAAAGTAGGCGAGTGAGCGTGAGGACCGAATGAATGAGTAAGCGTGTACAGTACGGTGTAGCGCAGTGCAGTAAACAGGACTAAGATATATATATATAAGGAAAAGCATGAATCATCAAATCAGTTGAGCGATTAATAATAAGGCTAGCGGAATGAATACATGCGTAGGCAGCAAGCAATGTTCAAGCGTATATAATAAAAGTACAATGGTACAGATAGTTTGTTGTTGTATGAATGACTGTCCATTAAATAAGTTAACAAAAGGGCTTAACGGAATTAGATGTAAACAAACTCAATTGTATGTGGGCTGCTATATCCCTACGAATTTCAGGTAGGGACTCATCTCAAAAAATTACTTTTCTACTACCTTACGCAGAATAAAACCTGAAACCTTCAGGACTTGCGATGCGCACAATACCACTGAATTGGAACTTCTTGATTTATGTTCATGCAATTTAGGTTGCAAATTGTGATTTTCATCAATCTAAGGTATCTTTGGCATTGTCAAGATGTTAGTCTGGACGCGGAAATTTAGGTTTACGACGCATCGGTGAGAGCATTTTCACATTATGCTTAGGAAACCTGAACCGTTCAATTTGAAGGTATTAGGCGACACTGTGCTTGATCATCACTATCCCATAAGGATTCGTCTCATCCAGTGTTAAAACCACATTACTGATGCTAAGGTACGGCAATCTGTGTTTGGATACAATAACGATAATCCGATTGCTGTTATCATATTTATCTCGTCATAACAAATTGTTTGAACATGTTTTACAGATTTCATCCCGGCGGCTTCCACATCAGACCTCAAATGCCGACGCTGGAACCGAGCATAGAAAGCAGAAAGAACATAATACCGCAACACAGAAGAAAGCTATTTATGACAGATTTTTCGGGCCAACATGGCTCCTTGGTTGGGGTTCTAGAGATTATGCGAATCGGTGACTTTAGGCATAATCAAACACGGGTAAGAATATAGGCTATTGGTGATCAAGCTGTAGTTTTTTTTTACACTGCTCTTAAAAGTGAAAGGAATCCCCTTAACTGGAAAGAACTTTATTGGTCCTATTTCTAGTTGTACACTGTTCCAGTCCATCCATTTATTTATAATTGTAGCCCACTTGCAAGCTTTATTTTTTCCCAATGCTCTCAGTATTTTTTATAGAGCACACATTTTCGGTGTCGTTACACTAGATTTTATTTAAGTAAATGGAAAATAGTAAGATTTAAAATATTCACTAGTGATTAGCTTTGAGACAAATTCCCGAAAAAAACATCTCATTCATAAACCATATGACCTTTGGACTCAACTACGTTACGAGAGAGAACGATATTAACTCACTAATCACATCACATTATCAAATAACTACGATTAATTTGAAAATGTGGACCATTGAATTCTATACTTGGTGATTTAAAATTTTCGTGCTCTGTGAGAGGTTTGGTATTTGATTGTATGCACTCTGCAATGTTTACTGATCAGGTAAAACTGTTTCATCACAATAGGAAACCATGAACAGACGCTATATATATATATATATATATATATATATATATATATATATATATATATATATATATTAAATGAGAAGTTCTATTTATTGTCAGGTGTAAAATCTGTAAACTAATTGACAACCACTTAAGATTATATAGACATACCAAACTTGTCAATCAACGTAAAGAAAACCATATTTGTATATTTATCTGTAATTTCAGGAACATATATTATGTTTTATAGCTAACGCTAAATTCTCTTAATTTCTTAGAAATAGATGTGCCGCCTATGAATGCATCTAGAGAAAATTTTTATGCTAGTTATCAGTCTAACAATAGTCATTATCAGGATTAAGTAGCATTTACAGCTTTCAATCAATTACACGAACTAATTATGGCAATAAAAGTGAAATGTTCAGTCCTTAATCTACTTATCTATATTTGTTTAGTTTATTTATGAGCAGAATATTTTTAAATATAATTCAACATTGCTTCACATCTCATAGGGAAAGATTCGTGTGGTTAGCCCTAATAAAAATGAAACATCTACAAATTTCAATCGAACATGTTGAAACAACTAATGAACTGTTACAAACATAGGTTAAAACTAAAACTGAGTAATAGTAACATACATTTGACGCACAACAACAATAACAACCATACTTCCTATTGACAGCCATTAACATACGCGGACATCATTATGATTTATTACAAATTAGTGTGCATAAACATCAGTCTTGGGTGTAACTATAAAGGTAAGTGGCATTAGATATATATGCGCCGCACAAATCCCATTTGATTTGTTTGAGGGCTGTGATACTGCCCAAGTGCCCAAACTGAAGCAGGTAAGTGAATATAACTACCGATCGATTTTTTCCAGCGAAGATTAAACTCATCCTATCACAAAATAACTGATACCATACCACGAGAATTTACTAACTTTTGAAATGTCGATTATAAACATCTAATTCAGTTAGTCGAAATGATTGATACGCTTGTATCCAAAATTGGTTTCTTGTATTCTGTTTTATAAGGTATCATTCAAGTAAAATTGTACAGTCCCGGTTGTTCTTGACTTCTATTGATGCTCAACTTACTAAAATATCACTCTAAAACTGACCATTATGAAATGAACTTTATTTTACATATGACTTGCATTCATAAAAATAAAGGAAAACAACTTTTCCGCGCGATCACAACCTGTTTTAAAAAACGGCACTTCAGTGTTTACTAGCCATTACTATTTTGCGGAACCCCAGTGGTCTTGAGTGCTGTTAGAGGTATGAGGGCAGTTATCACTTCCCGGTTGCCCACACCGTGGAAGGTCGGGTTGCGGAACCCCAGCTAGTCAAGACTTCGTTTCAGGAAACTGCATGTAGCGGATGAACAAAGTATATATTACTCGAATGATAACTTTTTAATTACCGATTTAAGCATAATGCATATTTAATTGACCGATTAGTCAATAAACGTCAAGCACATATCATTCTCGTTTAAACAACGAATGATTTTATCTAACTGAATTTACAAGAAAACAATACAAGTTCAAGATTATCCAAAAGTATGCCGCTACATTAAATTAAATTGCTTTATCGACACGAGTTTTCTATCATAAAAATGATTACAACCATATACTTAACTATGTCAACATTCTCAATAATTTATAACTTAGATGATTACGAAAACTTTAATACTTAAATTCATGAGTTGATGTAAGCTAGACCACCAATGAAAACCTGGAAGCACTGGGTGACCGTTTCGTCTTAGTATGATACTCCTTAGTTGTGCGTATCCACGATCCCGGGACCTTCGGTCTCGAGCGCGCATGCCTAACCTCTAGACCACTGAGCAGGTATCCAACTGTGCTAATGTCTATTTCAATCAATCCATGATATTGTTCAACCCTTGATCTACTGCCTGAGGTAGATGTTTGTCTCACATCCTACACGGATTGGGTCTCATTGGTCATGGCTTCTCACGAGAATTACGGGAAATTTATCTTTAAGCCAGTCACTAGTGTTCGCGCGCCAGACCAAAGGTCCTGGGTTCGAATCCCCTGTGCGGGGATCATGGATATGCACAACTGGGGAGTCCCAATACTAAGACCAAACGGCCGTCCAGTGCTTCCAGGTTTTCATTGGTAGTCTAGCTTACATCGACTCATGAATCCAACTATTAAAATTATTACAATCTCCACAAACCTCATTCTGATCAGAAAGATTACGAAAAAAATTCGATATTCATCGTAAAAAATCTTAGTCTTTTTGTGTCTTTTCTGCTTAAGGTGAAAACAGAAAGCTTTATCTACTAAGATCTAAGACAGTCAGACATGGCCAACACGAAGCCTAGAACGGATGTGCACTGGCTCAAGTTATCATGTCAGCTTAGCACGTCGATATGGAAACGAGACAGAAAAAAGATGTCATTGATACGAAGACTTTTAAGATGATATCTGGAGAATTGGCATATACGAACACAACTGTTCTTCATTTTTACAGTATCATGTTATAAATTGAGTGCTTGGTACGAACATATAGTGAGGGACGAAGCATAGAGAAGTGTGGGAGGGACGGAAACTTTTGAAAAGGATGAATGAATTTCACTGTCACAGCCACTAATTTTCAGCCATGTCATTCAAGATCTTCAACCATAAATCATAATGGCTACACGAAATTCGATCTGGATGTCTATATCTGTATAGTAATCGACATCTTTGGCGTCAGAGGCCGCCTAATCTTTAGGTAACCCTTAAAAACTTTATGCCTGAGTGTATTATCCTACTTAGATTTTCAGTGTCTTAACATATCTCTTAGGCAGCGCTACAACACTTTATGAAGTTAAGGGCTTCCTTTAAGTAACTAAAGTCTCATACAAGGTGCCACAAGTAAATGTTCTAGAGCCCTATATGGAATGAAGATGTGACTAACATGCTGTCAATTAAGTTTGACACTTACCCAGTTCTATAATATTTACCTTCAGTGTAATTAAAGGCCTAACGACCACAAACTACATGTATATAGCAACTAACTCCCACCTATTAATAACATGATATCTGAAGTTGATATGTGACGTAACCAACAGTGTAGATTATTTTGAATGAATTATCTCCGAACCACAGATAATAATTTCTTTAGTCTGAAGACTAATTTGAATTCTCTGAGGGGACCCTTTGCCGAACTAATTTTTCTTGCTTTTGCCTAAAGGGGTATATGAGACTTATTTAAAAAAGAATTCCTAAAACCCAGTTGAACCAATGTAAGTGTTCGGCTGTCGTCTTGTCAGACAATATTTGTGCTAACCAGAACATGACATATATTATTAGCCCAGTCACTTTTAGTTTGACAAATATCCAGATAACCTTCCTTCTATTGTAGAAACATAATGAATAATCGTCCTAACCAATAAAATGTGATTAGGACGATGACATATAATCCGTATTCCTTCTGAACACCATACATCAGTCAACGATCCTGATCAATAACAATTATCAAACCCATTATTTCAATGATATTAATCCATTATATCAACGCCCTCGTAAACGATTTAACACATTTTTCTCGTTGTGAGAAATCTACGGATATTTAAAATATACTATAATAACTGTACAATTTCAGTACCATTACAATCATCCCTTTGTGCGCTTTAAACGTGTGGAGGAAGAAGACCGGCTGCTTTCGGAACATGAGGAAGTACTGGAAGATGAGTCGTCGCTAGAACTTTCATTACTGCTTGAACTACATTCTGAGCTAGATTCCCCATCATCAGAGTCGTCCCCAGAACTTGAAGTCGAAGAATCAGAGGACGAACTAGAGCTTGAGGATGATGATTTAGTGTTTGTTTTTCTGGAGGAACAAAACTAGGTTATTTGCTTTAGACGTACTTTTGAATCTTTGACTTTTTCTGAGTTTCAAGCTTTTTCCCCAGTATACTGGTGTATGATTCGCGTTTGAGATACTTTCGCTGATTTGTACATTGATAAGTCCAATGACCTTTCTCTAAACACTTCTGACAATTTATGAGCGAAGTGTCGGTGGCTCGGCTGTAGAAAGGAAAAAATTGTGCGAACATTCCATAATACTGTATCACTAGTCAAGAAAGTCGAATTAAAAATGGAAATTATTCGAGCTGAATCATCAACCTAATTTAGTTTTATGTAGCAGAGGATGAACTTCACAATACAAGTTTATGTAAAACAACCGCTAAGAAATGTTGTAGCACTGATAGTTAAGACCCCTCGAGTTTTAAATATTTTCAGTTACATCACTCAACTCTGAAGGGATTACGAAACTCAAAGATTGATATACATTGGCATTTTGGGACAACCGGGTCAAATAGTTTTCTTCTTTTTTTATATTTCCCTAAACCTAGATTATGTTACAAACCGCTTACGTCTTTTCTATTCGCATATCTCAAAATTACTTCAATGTTCACATTGTAGTCATAACTGTAGACCAGTTTACAATTACATGAATCTCTCACAAGTCTACTGAATGATTATTTAACTTTGCATTCAACACTTTACACAACGACATAGTATACAACCGGAAAGGCTTAAACTCGTACAGACGATAATAAATCTACACAAACATACACGAATTCGGCTATTAGGGGTAAAGAAGGCAGAACCCTTAAATTTGTCCCATCGACAGTGTAAGTAATATGAATTGTAATTCAAGGGTGAGAAAATGTAAATTGTCTAAACAACTATATCAATGCTCAGAAATCTATGTAAATTCTTAAGAAGAGAGATGACTATTAGTACTTACTGACAGAAACAGCACTTACATCAAAAAGTCAAAGTTGGTACCTCAATATATTCACAAAGAACTACTAAGTTATAGAGAAGTAAAATGTTCATTGAGATAAAATCTAATAAGACGTAATCTTAATTAATATGATTTGAACACTTCATAAAATAAAAAAACAAACAGATAAATAAGTGTCAGTCATCAATATCACTTAACATCAAAATTGACTCAGTGTTAATTTCATCATGAAGATCCTGTAAACCGCATATCCTTTCAAGATAAGAAGCATCATCAAAGACCTGTCGTAAAAAGGTATACCCATTGGCCTTGTAAGCGTTCAGTACAGACTGGGAACATGCAGAGCACTTGGTGAATGCCAATGTTGCTGGCAAAACCTGGGTGTAATGAGAAAGAAAGCCCCTTATTTGATGGGGAACAACACCAAGAGACAGTTTAGCAGAATCCAAGCTGGAAAAGTCTTGAGATAGTGTATCTGCTGGAGCCTCATAGAGGAGTGGATGTTGAAGTACACTTATCATCAACTCAACAGCGAGAGCAGCTGCGACCATAGATACTCCCGGTCGAGTAACGGTACATTGTTGATCGAGACTGCGGTTGCGCGTTGAATTCATAGGTCCGATCACATCATTGCAGAAATAGCAACCCAAAAGTGAGCCACTTATGGCTCTTGCTTTTTTGAAAGAATCTTCTTTGTTGGGAATCGCTTCGTCAAAACTGAGAGAAGAAATATCTGGAGTGAGGCTATCGACACTTAAGCTTGGGGATTTAAAAGGACCCCGTACACCATGACGCATAACGAGAAATGTATCGAAACCCAAAGCAGCATTTATTGCCAGTTTCCCATGAGCAGTTGCCAAAACTGTGGGTAACCAACGTGATTCCCGAGTATCTGTTAGTAGGAATATCACATCGTGTTCCTGAACCAAAGCACTTAATTTGAAACAAGTATCTTCTGCAGATTGCTCCAATTCGGAAAATTGTGAATGTTGGTGTTTGTAATGAGTTCGGTTATAAGAAGATACAGGATGTCCAGGCATCGGGATACTAAGATCAAAACCGCGAGCATTCACCCCAGGAAAAATTGTTTGGAGTGCCTCGGCCGCAACAAGTGCCTTGTTTTTGACAGAGCCCACCGAGTCAGAAAAGACATACAAAGACTGCCGTACGGGATTTGAAAAAGAAACTGTGCTGTTGTCTATCAGAGTAATATGACGAACACCCCAGGCCAATAGCTGCCGAGCGACATTGCAACCAAGAGTACCAGCTCCTATCAACAAACACTTCGTATCGCGGAAAACAGACAGTTTTAGGTCCGGCATTAGCCTCCACTTCATTAGTTTTAAGTTTAAATCTACTGCTGATTCAGCTAGTTTAACTGGGTCCATACTTTCACTAAGATCTACTACACGTGGTCTTAGTTTGTTTTTCCATTTTTCCCAACCAACAAACTGAGTAAATGTCGGATTTGTGGGTTGTATATTGATGTGTATGACTATGCTATGCTCCCAATATCTTTCTCCTGAAGTAAAGCGATCCCTGAGACATAAAACCTTTAGGGAACATTCGGTTTGAATGATGGTGGAAGACAGTGCGTATAGAAGATTGCGTAATAGCCAGCAAGGTGACTGTGGGTCTACGGAAGAATCACACATTCCAACATAAATATAAGGAGACAATTCAAAACCTGACAACGGAAGGATATCAATAGACGATTGCGATTTTAAGACAAAAAAAGGAGAAGTATTTTCTTTGCGCCAACAATCAAATGAACGAAAAATGAGTACAAGTTGATCCTCAGAAAACTCCTCTCTAATGCTCCGAGTAGACGTAACTACTGGCTGAACGGAATGTAAGACAGCAGGAAATGCAAACCAAAAGTAAAATTTGTATTTTTTCAAGTCACAGTATGTCAAAAGGATGAACCGGAGAAGTAAGTCAGGCTTCCTCAAAAATTCACTTTGTGAAATGGCTTCGGTCATAAACTTCGCGCCGTGTTCATTCAGTAAACATTGTTTATCAACGTCCTTAAACTCATCCAAGCTATTTAGGGAAAAAAGGCTCCCATAAATGTTGAAGATCGTTGATGTATGACTTCTTTTGACACTACTATTGCAAAACGACGTGACGTCAATCGTTAACCTGGGGGAAACACCAGGAGCATGGCTATTTGTAAACTGTGCTGATATTTCAAAAGGGCCCTCGGAAAGACGATATTCATTGAGCTTTCGATCAGCTAAGCCATGCCAGAAGGATGTGTCTATTACTGTTTCGAAAGGTATATACTGCAGTACTGACATTTTCAGTTATAATCAGTAACAAAAGCGTGTCGTTTTACGTCTACTTAGATCACTGAGCACTAGTAATCGCAAAAATAGGGGACCTACCTCTGAAAGAGTGTTGGTAGCCTTGGTTTTCTCAAACCTGACATACAGCACTCAACTCGTATCACGCGGCTGATTATGTTCAATCTGACAATGTGTCTTATTTCTTTGTTGCGATCTTAGATGAATAAGCTAGATAGGTTGAGTTGCAGTACTGACTTAAATCAACTACTTTTACAATTTGAAAGACACCTATGAGGCAAACTCAGCCATTCATTTGTAGGAGTTTATAGTGACCTCTGTGTCAAAAATAAGGAACACATTCGTTTATTTGTGACGCTTTATGCCCAACCACATTTATAGTCGACATATATTGCTAATGTTCAAATAAATTATATCGTCGTCATCTATTCTTTCGCGCTGCCGACCGCGGCCTTTTATTGGGGATTATAAGCGTTATAACATCTTTTTAGGCCGCTCTATATTGCGTATTACTCGTAGCCAGATAATCAATCATTCAATAACACTATCGGATCTATATTTTGCATCGTGCCGTTAGTGCCAACTGTGCATGTGAACCTTCTTTGAATAAGTGAACCCTGGTTGTGGCTGTTATACTGGAAGCAGCTTACGAGCGACATTCATTTCATAGTAGTTTTCATATATTTTTGTGATTTATCAGACTGCTCTTTTGTTCTGGCTGCTTTAGTGGGTGCCTGAAAGTGAATTCTTTTAGAAAGCAGTGAGGAAGTTTTCCTCAGGGTCATTAGATTCCTGGGGTCAGAAATCGCTACACCATTCATAGGTTTCGTTTACTATATCAAACTTTCATAATGTGTGAAACGTTTGATTTCCTATTATGCTAATAATTTCTCTGTATCTTGTTTATAATTATTGACTGATTTTGTTGCTATCAGCAAAGGCACTGTACGGATCTACTTGGTCATTCGTTCTCGTTATTTCTTGCTCTTCTCGCCCCTGTATTTTTACATGCATGCTGCTCATCACGCACCCCTAATATACATCAAGCTATCTGTAGTGACAAACAAGCCTCCCCCAAAATGAGTGGTTTTGTAAGTCTTCGACACCGATGATGACCTCATTAGTTTTACTGGATTCACCCTAGCTTAAGGCGCTCGATCACGCACCCGTATCAAATCACGAGTGGGTACACCATGCTACGCATCCTTTGCAACAGCCAGCCGGCTTAAATCGAATACTTCTAAACACATTTACAACCTTTCAAATATATCTTCGAACTCGTTCATTCCTGACTTCTGATTTCACTGGGCTGTTATCCTTCGATCACTAAGGTGTTACGGACAAAGGCTTTATCAAACCTCCCAATCTCTGTAATAGATTTATATCAAAGACGAACAGAAAGTCACTGAAATTTTTAGAACTAAATGGACAAGTCGTTGTGTAGACATAATATGACATATGATGCATAATTTCGATCATTCAATCAAGCACAATTGTTTTAAAAGGGTATTTTTAAATAATGTTTTAAAGTCAAGCCTAATAACACATGATATTTTTGTAATGATGTATTATTCTATCCATTCGCCTGTTGGCCGATCGTTTAAAAGATAGTCCATGAATGTTCAGTGAATAAACTAGCTGCCATTTTATGCGGTCCACTGAAAGAGCCACAACTGTTTAACGACAATTTGTCAAATGTCAGATATTCCTAATTTATAAACCCAATATCACAATGATGCATACCGTTTGATGCACAACTCTGTGAGATGATCTGGACTACTGAGTAAATTAACTCCTCCTGTAGCTACTCCGGGGGCTACTGCCGGTCCCAAGCCCGGGTAAAGGAGGAGGGTTGTGCATAGGGTTAGCGACCCCATCCCGTATAATACCAACTCGCTAAAAAAACGCTAACCAGAAAAAATTATTCAAACCATTCAAACTCTGCCCTCCCAGTCGAAAGAATAATTATGACGTCTCATGATGAAAACCGAGTTCCTTCGGAAGTCATGAGGCCGATGCACCTTCTTACAACCAGAGCGACAATTTTTATAGGTACATGGAATGTCCGGACAATGTGGGAAACCGGAAGAGTCTTCCAAATTGCTGCAGAAATGAGAAAATACAACCTGGAGGTTCTTGGAATCAGCGAAACACATTGAACGCAGGTCGGACAACAACGACTATCTTCAGGAGAACTTCTGTTATACTCAGGTCATGAAGAAGAAAATGACCCACATACACAAGGAGTTGCATTGATGCTGTCCAGAAAAGCACAAAATGCACTTATTGGATGGGAATCCCATGGACCAAGGATCATCAAAGCCTCCTTCAAAACAAAGAGAGAGGGCACTACAATGAACGTCATCCAATGCTATGCGCCTACCAACGACCACGATGAAGACGCTAAAGATCAATTCTACGATAGGCTGCAGTCAATCTTTGATAAGTGCCTAACCAGGGACCTGACAATTCTGATGGGAGATCTCAATGCCAAGGTTGGAATGGACAACACTGGATACGAAGACGTCATGGGACAACATGGACTGGGAGAAAGGAACGAAAATGGTGAGAGATTTGCAAACTTATGTGCCTTCAATAAACTGGTCATAGGTGGCACCATATTCCCACACAAAAACATACACAAAGCCACTTGGATTTCACCGGATCACACTACACAGAATCAAATCGACCATATCTGCATCAACAAAAAGTTCAGGAGGACGATGGAGGATGTGGGAACCCGAAGAGGAGCTGATATAGCATCCGATCGTCATTTGCTGGTCACCAAGATGAAGCTAAAACTTAAGAAGCACTGGACAACTGCGTGGACTACAACACAAAAGTTTGATACGTCCTTTCTTCGAGATGCTGACAAACTCAACAAATTCAACATAGCCCTCAGAAACAGGTTCGAGGCCTTTTATGATCTACTCAATGGAGGGGGGACTACCATGGAGAACAACTGGAAAGGTATCAAGGAGGCAATCGTTTCAACATGTCAAGAGGTTCTGGGCCAAAAGAAGCACCATCACAAGGAATGGATCACTGTTGGTACACTGGATAAGATTGAAGCAAGGAGGAACAAGAAGGCAGCAATCAATATCAGACAAACAAGAGCGGAAAAAGCCAAGGCACAAGCCGAATACACAGAGGCAAACAAGCAAGTGAAGAGGAGCATCAGAACCGACAAACGTAAATATGTTGAAGATTTAGGAACGACAGCGGAAAAGGCTGCAAGAGAGGGAAACATGAGACAACTGTATGATACAACAAAGAAACTTGCTGGAAATTACCGTAAGCCAGAAAGACCAGTGAAAAACAAGGAAGGCAAAATAAATACTGAAAGCAAATGTAACAGCAACTGCCAAGATACTCCACATCCTCTTCAGTAAGATTTGGGACGAAGAACAAGTACCAACACACTGGGAAAAAGGACTTCTCATCAAGATACCAAAGAAAGGTGATCTTAGCAAGTGCAACAACTACAGCGGCATCACTCTTCTCTCAATACCAGGAAAAGTCTTCAACAAGGTATTGTTAAACAGAATGAATGATTCTGTAGACGCTCAACTTCGAGACAAACGGGCTGGATTTAGTAAGGATAGATCGTGTACAGACCAAATCGCAACTCTACGTATGATTGTGGAACAATCAATCGAATGGAATTCATCACAGAAATATGTATTAGTTACGCTAGATATAAGCGAAAGTGTGACCACTACTCTCTGGGTCAGTCCATGGCGTACAATTAACTGATGCGCGTTGGTTGCCCCTGACCTTGACAGGGGCTAATGACCTCTTTGATATTCAGTTACCCAAATAAGATGGTGATTGGAGGTTGTCAACAGGAGACCCTGAACCTAGGTTTCGTGCTACTTGGCACTCGTCAGCAAGGTGCTCCCTGACGGATTCGATCTTGTGTCACCCAGCTTCACAGTCAGAGACGTTACCACTGAGCTATCCGGGCCGCGACCGACCTCCTGTAGGACTGAGATGTATTTACAACTGACTGATCACTTAGTGGTGATCAGTACCATGTATGTCAGGTCCTTCTTACTGCAGAAGAATCCTATCGATCAAGTTGGAATAACACTGAGTGTGAAGTTGGATGAAACGGGATCAAATCCGTCGCCCCCAAATGCCCTGGTACACCTGAGAGTGGGGAGAGTCCGCTCTCCCTCTCCAAATGCTCTCACAGGGCCACGCGAATATATAGCCTCTGCCAGGAAAGTCCTACTCATTGCCTTCTCGTGGCATTACTGTTGTTTACGAATTTCAGAGGACGAAAAGCGAATGTCCGGCGCTTTAACCGGGTTGGTGGACACAGAAAGTCCACCTAGTGGAGTTGGAAAACCCTGATTCCATACCAATGGTGCACATGTGCTCCAGTATCCTGAAGGAACGAATGGCGTATGAACCAATTGTTGGTCACCGGCTACCATGGGACTGCATCTCCTTACGATACTCCACTGCATTGTGGACTAGACCTTTAGGTCAAAGGTTCGGGGTGTGGTCCCCTAAGAAAACCATCTGCTCCAGTCTGGACACCTGGGCAGTATCACATCTCTCACACAAATCAAATGGGATTTGTGCGGCGCATATTTATCTGGTGCTTTTTTTGTACCAATATTTATGTGTTTAAATAAATAAATAAAGATAATCGAATCCGTCAGGGAGCATCAGTCCCCTCAAGATAACAGGTACATCTTGATGACGAATGCAAAGTAGTACGAAACCTAGGTTCAGGGTCTCCTATTGACTACCTCCAATCACCATCTTATCCCAATGTCAAGCCATCCAGACTTTTAGCAACTTTGCAACTTGATCGATAGGATTTGATCTGCACGAAGAAGGACCTGACATACGTGATACTGATCACCACCCAGTGATCAGTCAATTGTAAGTGACTCAACCGCCAGATGATTTGGCTAGGGCTGTTACATTTCATTGGCCCTAGATAGTGAAAATGGTACTGATATGAATTATGGGAATCGATAAGAAACGTGAATAATAGCAAAAACTAATTACAAAACAACTCTACTCTAACAACTCCCGTAGGCCTCTAGAAGTTTTTGGAACTGTACCAAATGTAATAGCAGCATAGGTAAATACCCCGAGGTGGTAG